TAAGTCATTCCTTTTTCAACAGGCAAAGTGGGGGGACTGGGGCCTGAGCAAACGATTGAGAATATATCAGTATAACTTCAATTATTGCAACGATGCAGGATGAGACAGTTTCCTCAAAAAGAGAGGGCCTGCCGACCCCAAAGAACCCCCCCCCCTCCCCTCCCGCACCCCCATTCTTGCAGCCCCTGTAGCTTAAATAGGTTATGGGAACACAAACAGAGACATTGTACCCACCACCAGACAATACATTTTTCTCATTTTGCAGTCTGCTCCTTGGAAAGACTTCAAACCAGTTTTCTCACAACCAGTTCTAGAAAATCTTTACTTCTGCATGAAAGCGAAAAGTAAAATGGAATGAATCTGATCGAATAGACCATTTTGCCGATTACATACATTACTTGTTCCTAGGTAGGACAAACACTAAGGCTTTTCCTACTTAGTCAGTATTACTTTATTGCGACCATGCGGAATGAGATAATATACTCAAAAAGTGAGAGCCTGCAGCTTGTGCTATCTACCTACTAATCTGTAATTTTAATTGATCTATAAAAAAAAATTCATCATAAAATCTATGATATCTACAAAATCAAATCTGATTAAAATGTTTTTGGCAACTTCAACACAACTATCTTAGAAGGTCATGGGCATCGGAACACAATTAGAGACATTGTGCGCATCCCCAGACAACATATTCATGAGTACTCCTCTGCTTCTCGCAGAGAGACATTAAAACCAGTTCTGTCACGACCAGTTAATCTCATCAAAATAACTAGATGGAATTCGACTGCGCGCAGTCGAAAATGATGCCTCCGTCATAGAGCAATTTTACAAACCGAAACGGAAGAAATTTTTCAAATTCAAGTTCAATTGTAATCCATTAACATGTTCTCAGAATATCGTGATTACAAGCAATTTCTCATATACATATATGACCCTTTGATCTTTGACCTCATGACCCTAAAATCTACTCAGTTCATTGGCTCTGCAAGATTTCCTGAGTTAAATAGTAATCCATCTGTCAGTTCTAATAAGAATGCGTCCACAAGCTATTTTTGCATACATAATGAGCCCATGACCTTTGATCTTATGAACCATTCATTGGCTCTGCAAGATACATAAATGATCTAAGTTTGGCAGGAATCCATCAATCTGTTCTAATGATAATACGATCACAAGCTATTTTTGCATACATAATGAGCCGCATGACCTTGACCTTTACCTCATGACCCCAAAATCTAATCAGTTCATCAGCTCTGCAAGTAACATACATGACCTAAGTTTGGCAGGAATCCATCAATCGGTTCTTGAGATAAGGCGATCACGAGCTGTTTTTGCATACACAATGTGCGCTGTGACCTTTGACCTCGTGACCCCAAAATCTAATCAGTTCATTGGCTTTGCAAGATACATACATGACCAAAGTTTGGCAGGAATCCATCAATCGGTTCTTCAGATAATGCGATCACAAGCTGTTTTTGCATACATAATGAGCCCTGTGACCTTTGACCTCGTGACCCCAAAATCTAATCAGTTCATCAGCTCTGCAAGATACTTACATGACCAAAGTTTGGCAGGAATCCATCAATCGGTTGTTCAGATAACGCGATCACAAGCTGTTTTGCATACATAATGAGCCCTGTGACCTTTGACCTTTGACCTCGTGACCCAAAATGTAATCAGATTGTTTTCCTATAGTGATACACACTATCACTAAGTTTGAAGTTTAAATCTCCAGTGGTTCTTGAGATATCATGATAACAATCTCAATGTATGGAATTTCATAAGTTGACCTCTGTGGCCCTTGACCTTTGACATACGTGCTCCAAAATCTAATCAGATCGTCTTCCTATGGTGATACAGACTATCCTTAAGTTTGAAGTTTAAATCTCAAATGGTTCTTGAGATATCGCGCTAACAAACTCAATACAAGGAATTTCATAAGTTGACCTCTGTGACCTGTGACCTTTGACCTACGTACTCCAAAATCTAATCAGATCGTCTTCCTATGGTGATAAATACTATTCCCGAGTCTTAAGTTTAAATCTTAAATGGTTCTTGAGATATTGTGATAACGGTCAAACGGGACGGACGGACGGACGTACGGACGGACGGACGTACGGACGGACGTACGGACGGACGTACGGACGGACGTACGGACGGACAACCCGAAAACATGATGCCTCCGGCACCACCTTCGGTGGCGGAGGCATAAAAATGCCATGCAACATGACCCCTCTTACCGAAATGACCCTTTTGACCTTTATGTCATCGTTGTATATTGATGATTGCTGGTTGATATGATGGGCGGATATTGTATATATGCTATAGGCGCATCCTTATTAGACCTGGGGGATGTTTCTCAAAGATCCTAAGTTGAACTTATCTCTAAGTTGTACTTAACAGTTATGGAAAGCCATTAGCATCTTTACAAATATTTTGTAAAAGTTATTTTAAAAGGCATGAAATGTAGATTCAAATCATTCATATTTTCTCTTATCATTGGAGATTTCATGTTCTTGATGTGGAATTTATGAAAAGTCTAAAATACTTGAATTTTTGCTTTTAAATATATTTCATTATAAGGCTACAAATGGTTCTCCATAATTTTTAAGTCCAACTTAGAGTTCAGTTCAACTTAGAATCTTTGTGAAACACCCCCCAGACAAGCTTGAGCTTGAGATCATTATTAGACCAAACAGCACTTCTCCAAAAGAAAGTCAGAGTTTGAAGTTCTCTGTCTTCATTAGATTGAGTTGGGCAAGTAATGCTTGCTTGTGAAATTAACTCAAGTGACGTGCAGGATGAGAATAGCTATATATACATTACGTTTTGCCACCAGTCTCAGACCACATTTAACAAACAAAAACTTAGATCTACATGTTACCCAAATTTGAATAAAACATAAAACTAGCATTGATGATTATATTTCCGTAGAAAATAGGCCAAAGATTGTAAAATGATATAAATGAGTGCATTATTTTTTTAAGAATCCTTAGCTAATTCTCTAATATTGAATATCATAACTTTTTCCCCCCTGTATTTGGAGGGAGATTCAACGCTAACAAAATATTCTGTTGGACCTGGCAAAAAATAGTTAAAATATTTATATTTAAAAAAAAATAGTATTATGTTAGAATTCTGGGGTTGTAGTATTCTGGGGTTGTAGTACTATAAGGAATGTTAATGTCGCTATGGGGACTAAAGCAATATCCATATATAGGTTCTCTACCCCAGAGGCACCATTTAACATTTTGACACAGTCCAGAAAAAAGTTGAATCGCTGTATGATTGGGCCAAGAATATTCAATAAAAAATTGTCTTTTGAAATTTTGAAAAAGATGATGAATGTTTAGTAAGGGGTAAGTTGATGTTGAATTTAATCAATAAAAGATTACAAGAATTTGATTCATAATACAATACAAAAAGGCATTACCCATAGCAGTACATTGTCTCCTTTCACTGACATTTTTGCATTATCTATTGATCCAGAAAGCTTGGAATTACACATAATACACAAGCAGAAAGAGCAAAACAACACAGACAACTTTGAGTCTATTTCCAATGCAGTATGTTGTGCAATTTAAGAGCAACTTACCACTAAAGTCTATAAAAAGGCAAAGTGATGTAAAATATAAATAAATATATACATTGTTTTTCACATCAGTAAGTTTAATAAACATTATTTTTTCAAATTATTTTGGTTAAATTTTTCCATTGTCTTTTACATTAGTTCATTTAATAAATATTATTATTTTTCAAACTATGCAGGAGTGAAAAATAAGATTAATTGTTGCCAATTTGAGGAGGGAATACTGATTACACTAAAAGAATTTTTTTTTTAAAGTATTCTGGACCTCAGTAGAGTAGAGAGGTAATTTTGTACAATGCCCATTGCTATAACCGACTGGTATATAATTGGCCTCCTGTAACCTTTCATAATGTCTTTTTAAATAAGAGACTCCAAAAGTTAAATAGTTCATGTACCTTTAAATGCTATAATGATAACAAATAGGTTGATACTGATGACAATCCTTTGAAAAATGTCTTCTCTACTAGTTATCATTCATCCTGTCGAGAGTAGAGACATTTCATTGTGGAGAACTAGATTGGTATCACAGGATCAGTCAGAATCAAAGAATTCCAATCCAATTTTTGTTTTGCAAACACTAAATTTGGGATGATTAATGATTCTAGACTCACATACCAACAGGGCTTAGTTGAAGCCTGAAAAGTTCTCAAAATCACTTGGGATTATTGAACTTTTTGTGTAAGAAAAACATTTACGGGGGCACTGTCAGGCGAGGAATCTAGCTTGAAAGATGTTCCACCATAGTTATCTCAAAACTAGGCAACTAAAAACATAATCATACAAGAATTGAATGAAATGTCCGCCTTCTTCCTGAATACATGTTTGTGCTTGATCCAAAATACAATCCAACTGAGACCATGAAGTTAACCTTCATTTTCAACACTACTGAACCCCCCAAATCCTAGACTAAAAACTACAAAACTCTGGACATAAGCCTGACCTAAAACCTAATTGAGACCCAAAGCCCAAACCTATTGCCCCTATTCTACTAAAATTCAAACCAAAGGCTTTCGTCCTAACTTGGAAGGGAGTTAGTTTGAGGTCAAAGTTTTCCTTTTTTTTTCTAACGTGATCAGGTTCAACTGAATTAGTACAACAAGGTATGTGTATGTCTTTAATGAAATAACATCCAAAGCAAATGTACATGTTCTTTAAAGCCTGTCTGCACTAGTTTGGCCAGGGGGATTAGACCTCCCTGTAAGGTCACTGACAGGTGGTTTCAAATTGGCAACTCTCAATTAACATAAGAAAATGGGGACCATGGGGGACCAATGGTCACTGATTAGGCATTGTTTGCTATATAGAGGGGGCAAGCAGCTATAAGAGGTGCAGTGGGGCTTTGCTTTAAGCACAAATCAAATGACCCGACATGGCACCACACAAGGAAAATCACAACGGATGAGACACCTACCTAAGAACTCATCGAAGCCATGAGAGGGTGGGAGGTACTTCCCATCGAGCCCCACCCCCAGATGCCACTTGCCGACCATCGCCGTGTAGTAGCCGCGCCCCTTGAGCATCTCTGCGATGGTTTCCTCCTCATGTGGCAAGCCTCCTGAGGACGTCACGTTGAAGACACCGGGGTAGATCCCGGATCTCATGTGGTAGCGGCCAGTCAGAAGAGCAGCCCTGCAAAGGGAAAGGATAAAGATTATTTCCTATTAGATTTCCTGAATTGTCCTTTTAGAAATTGCTCAGCTACAGAGGAAAGAGTCATGAGATCCTGTGATATTTGTTTTTCAATTCAACCTTAGTAATGAGAAACAGAATGACAAAAAATGTGAAATAAATCTGACCAATAATAAGAAAATTATGACTGTTTGAAATAATCAGTTACGGATAACTCTCCTGTTTGTTGTGTACAAAAATATCACAAATTTCTGTTTTTTCCTACATGTACATACGTGCCTCCACCCTTGAGGCACTACTCAAAATGTATTATGGAGAGTATATTACTAAAGGTCCTCTAAATGGAAGAGACCATCCTGAGTATTGAAGGAGGCAAATTATCTTGAAAAAGAAGAAGAAGCAGAGTCATACATTTTTGAAAAATTTAAATTTCAGTTATTTTGTGTGTTGGAACAAATAGGAGATTGTCCCTTATAACATCACAGTGACATCATCGATTTGGCCCATTTGAAATTCCCATGCGTATAGTGATTACAAGTTCTAAAACTCGTAGCTTTCTCATCTTTGAGAATTTGACATTTGTAGCTATGCTTCAATAATAAAGCTTACTGTATTATTCAGCCTGGTTGCTGATGAAAAAATGTGATCACTATGAACTCGTTTCTGATTTTTTTTTCTTCTCAATATGGCTCCCACATCACATTAGAATGTTCTTGAGTGCCATTTTAGTCTCTATCTTCACCTTTACAAATAATGAAATAATTACAACATTCAAACATTTACTGCTCTTCACAGGATTATGGATAATCTCCCATATCTCTGCCTATGAACATGAAATCCCCTTTTTGTGGCTGTAAAATAATTCAGTCTTGTCCGACTTGAAATGTATGTGTTTGGTGTACTTTAATTATAGGTGAACAACCTCTTTGTGTTCTGAGAAATGGGCAAGCTAAGCCCAAGTGGCATCTCTGACAATGGTCATTGAATGTTATTGACGGAATCAATTACTTGCTAGCATGTAGTAGACACCTAGTATACATTGTTGCTTTAGCCTATTCCCCGGGGCTAGAGATGATAAATCGACAACTTGAAATAGGATATTACCCGGGATAATCTCAGATATATCACCAGCTTGAGCCCCAAACACATCATTTACCCTAAAAGCTAAAAGCAGGATTTTGACCGAAATCCAAATAAAAATTAGATGTTTTGTCTGGCGTTGATTCTCGCTACCGGCCTGGCCACGGGATATGGGCCACGCATTCACCAATCCCACCTAATCCCATCCGTCACCCTCTAATCATTGATTCGTGAGTCAAGTTTGCATGGAGGAAATGAAGGGAAACTGGGACAATACTCAATTTGTCACAAGCGACTGATCTTGTTTGCCGTATCTATTTCAGGTGAAGGATACAGAGAATAGATCTCAATCCTATCTCCTTGATCTCATATGCTCCAGCAAATTATTTCAAATGACTCCGGGTCAGTATCTGAGACTATTATAAATGCAGGAGTACAATACAAGACTTTAATTATCACCCATTTTGCTCATTTCAAAATAGGATCCATGAATTCTTATTTCTCCTCACGCAGCACCCTAAGGGTGGAGTGGGACTATTAAGTGTCTAAATGTGAGAAAATCAGAATGACCAGCAGCAAAGAGTCCTCAAGACCAGGGTGACAATGTAATTTTGTGAACTTGTACTTGTGAGCAACTCTACATTACACTGATTGAGTTGAAGCAAGGTGATTCAACCCTGTGATATTCAAGAGGTTTCCAACTCCTTCAGGAACTTACTGGAAACTGATGCATACGCTTATATTAACTACATTAAACAACATGAGTGTTGCCCTCTAGATATGTAAGTAGTTTAAAGGGGGCCCTTTTTGAAGAAGAAAAAAAGAATGACAAAAAAGGGGGAGGAAGAGTTGTCAAAATGTATAAAAGAATGAAATAGGTGCTAAAGAAGAATAAAAGGGGCATAGTTGGTTAAGAATCAGAAGGAAATAGTGCATATTAATTACACCTGATTGTGTCTACTAACTTTTCTACTGGATGCACAATAACTATTCCACCCCCCCCCCCCCCTCTGAGTGTGTGGGTGTATTTGTGTGTGAGTGTGTAATCATGTGAAAGTTGTTAGCTGCCTCTTGTCACTTCACCCAAAAGAAACTAAGAAAAGGAAGGAGGAGACATTTTGCTTTCCCAGCAAAGGACCGATGAAAGAAGAATGAAGGTCTGCATTCCTCCAAATATACAAGAGAGGTCTGTCCTCATCAGCCCAAGTTGGCCAATAGCCCACTATTTTGGAATCCCTGAGATCAACCAAAAGTTTCAAATCTCATCTTCATCAACTCAAAACTGAATGTTGAGAAATTTAATCCGTGTTCGCGCATAAAGTGCGAGTTTTCAGTCTGAAGCAGACCACAAATATAGTGGGCTATTTTGCAAACTAGTGCAAGATATCTTTGGAAAATTTCCCGTGCAAATAAGCCTCTATTTGCATTTTTATCTGCCAAATAGCCCGCTATTTTGTGATCTGGCTAACTCTGGTTGATAAGCTATTTGGCCAACTCAGGCTGATGAAAGCAGACCTGAGGTGATTTTGAAGTGAAAAAATTTAGAGCGCTCTGGATTTAGATTCAAGGGATGTCGCTAGACCATTTTGATTTGGGGAGGAGCAGGGGTGCCAAACTTAATTTACTCACAAAAGAATTGAAAATTCCCATCTAACCACCCACCCCCCCCCCTCAAAAAGTCGAACAAAGGCCCTGTTTACATTGTCCATTCCCAGAAGTGTTTTTGAAGTCATGAAATTTAAAGAGCTGTTGATTATATCCAGGCCTTCAGGTGTATTGCAAGACCATTTTGAATGGGGGATGGGGGCTGTTGGACCAGATTCGGCAACAACGACAATGTAGCTGGAAATGAGACCCTACTGGCTACACCCCCCCCCCTCCCCACAATCTAGTGATGGTCCTGTTTATATTGTGCATTCCCGCAGACAAACAAAAGTCTTTCTGAAGTTAAGAACTTTAGAGGGCTATGGATTTACATTTAAGTGAATGGGGGAGGGTGCCAGAAAAAAAAGGGACCTGGAAATTCTCTAATCCAACACCTCCCCCTTCTAGTGTTGCCCATGTTTACATTGAACATTGCTTAGTCAGTCATCCTTCCATATATTTTTTTTAAATGAAATTCAATGTGTCTGATGTATGCTTTGCTATGCATGGCTGGCAGAGTAAAACACGTTGGTTGGCAAAAAGAGTTTAGTGCACAAACAACTTATATCATGATGTATATTCTATTTCACATAAGATATTTGCACTTTCAACCGAACAAGCCTGAAATATGTAGTATAAGGCTTGAAACACAGGAAAGTTGTATATTATGTAGACTCCAACATTGTCTTTTCAAAGACCGCTTTTTATATATTAGTTTTGGGCATATAAGGGCATATATAGCCAATTTCTTATTTTAAAAGAGATTAGCTACTTGAGCCCCCTCCCCCTTACCCACCAACCCATTCAATCAATTAGTGACTTGGAGTTCTCAGGTGCGAATGGAAAGCTGATGGGCGGGTGCCCTTTGGCAGGGTATTCATTCGTTGATCCCTGATTACCTAGCCCCTCAGATCTGAATAGGACTTGAAGCAAGGGGTCTATTTTCAACTTGTTAATAGCCAGTTCAGACCACAGTCGTAGTTTTAGGAAATGTATATTAAACTTGTATAGCGTAGAAAGAATTGCCATAACAAAAAGGAGCATAAAGACAGGGAGATAACAACGTATGAAGAAATATCACATAAAGAATCCAAATTTTGAAAAGGTCAATTGACGTGACAGCTACATGTACATGTAGCTATGATCAGAGCAAGCTCACGTTAAGCCCTTCCCAATAATAAGATTTTTGCATGATACAAAGTTCAGACTACAGCCGGAACCTGATTCTTTATCGAGTTTTCAATTCAAACGATGCTCAAACATGCATTTTGCTATAATGATGCTATGTGATAAGACATTTCTTTACATGACTTTCAGACTATGCAAAAAGTAATATCAAATAGAAGTTTAACTATGGCTATACCATGAAATCCAGAATTTCTGGGAGTCTAAACGGAGGGTCAGTCCCTCGAATTGGAATAGGACTTAAAGCCAAGGTCTACTTTCAACTTGATGAGAAGCATGTAGACGTAGGCCTACATAGCACTCAGGTAAAATAAACATTAGTCAATCAACTGATTAAAAACATTTATAAGTTTATCAGGGTGTTGTCCATCAAAGTATAAAGCCGCTGGAAAGAAAAATGAGATGAATAGGGCATAATTTTTGCATTAAGTGTTTGCAAGGGAAGCGATTGGAAGGTAATCCTTTCCTTCCTTCATTTCCTTACAAGTTAACATAACAGCATTTGGAGATAATAAAAAGCCCTGATTGAATCGGATTTGGAGCAAACAAAAGGAAAATTCTCACAGGTAAAGTGGGGATAAACCGATAAACAATGTAACAAAAGATCTTATCATAACACACTACTGCCCACTTCTATGTAAGACCATGGACCTACTAAAGAATCTATCATAAGACAGTATAAAAAAGCCAGGGGCACCCTGTATATCATTTTACTTGGACAAAAGAAATAACAAAATACATACAAAATGAAATTATGGAGAAGAATCATGATTATAATGATCGATTCTTATCAAAGAAGGGATGAAAATGTAAGCCATCGAGCACCCACATACATGTACAATACATGTTTTACAAATTACTGCTCTTTCTAAAGCTTTGGATATTAAAGGGGGTGGCGGCTGGGGGCACACACTTGCTTCATCCAATTCTGGATACGCCACTGGAAATGATCTGGGTAGAAGTCTTTTTAGTGCCTATGTGATTCTGTCACTTCAGCAATAAATTTTGTTCTAAATTAAGTTTACAGTCCAAGTGCCAAACAATGTATTCCAACTAAAACAACATCACTTTGGAAGACATGAAAACATCAT